ACACATTTGCTGTGCACGGGTTTCAGCATCACCAGGCTCTCGGAGGGGAGGCTTTGTCGACCCAGAAGCCAGCCCCGAGGGTTCCCGTTGTCCCTGATGGCCCCACGTTGGGTCCCTCGGAGCCACCAACCTGGGCAGGGACTCCCCAGAACGGCAGCTGGGTTCTGTTCAAAGGTGTCTGTTAACTCTGCAACTTTTCAACCCACCGTACAGTGCTCAGGGGGTTAAATAACAAACTGCACCAACCAGGCATTTTCTGAGTATCGGGAATATGTTCAGAGCAAAATCTCCATGTCTACAGGGGATCGTAGAGTACCCCCCACCAGAATTCAGGTACTCCCAGAACCTGTGAACGGAACCTTATTTGAAATAGGACCCAGGTGTATTAAGTGAAGGATCATAAGGTCATGGGAAGGATGTGGCCACGAGCCAGGAGCCCCCAGAAGCTGAAAAAAACGGGAAGGACCCTCTCCTGGTGCCTCTGGAGGGATCGTGACCATACCCCACCTGGATCTCAGTGGTCCTGCCCCGCCTGAATCTCAGACTCTGGTGTCCAGAGCTGGGAAAGGATGAATTTTTTACCTTTTAAGCCAGTAGGTACTAGGGTAAAGCTGACCCAGGGCATTCTTTAGACAAGGGCCAAACCTTAAAAGATACTGAGTGTAAACATCATGCCCAAAATGCCCCCCATGTCCTCACAGACAGCCACACCCCGCCACGCTGGCCTGCATGAGGCTTTTCAGGAAGATGTCACAATAGGCCTGATTAATGGGGCATTACGGTACCTGGGCTGGATGGAGGACGCTGTTCTGTGGGCAACTCTACGTAGGGAGCAGAGACGAGGCCCAGAATCTCCAAGACAGGTGGAGGGAACCAACACAGCCACAGCTTGCAGAAAGAGGAGACCCCAAGCTGCACGTTCTGCAGCCCAGTCAGGATCGGGCACCTGGACACGGAATGGCCGTCGAGGGACCGGGGAAGGAACCCACAGCGCCGCACCCTGGCTCTGGAGTATGAGCGGGTCCATCCTACCCCAGCAGCACAATTCGGCTGTATCAGGTCTTCCTACGGCATTATTATCATGGTTGTAATAGTTATCACTAATTTAGCTGAACGAGGTCACAAGACCCTGAGCTATGTGTCGCACGTACGGAACAAGGAATCCCCAACTAAACGGATTCTTACAGAGACATCGGCCTTGCTCTCCTTGGATGCACACTTACATCAGGATCTCTGGGGGCCCCCAGGAAAGCAGGCGACGAGAAGGGGTGTTCCCAGTGAGCCCCTGGAAGGCCCCTGGGCAGGGCCACCTGCCACCACCATCTATGCCGCTCAGCCCACAATGGTGTCGGTCACGGTCACCGGTAAAGGTTTCCTCAAGGTAGGCTTCCTCCGCTCATCCTTGGCAGGTGGTTCGAGCACCTCTGGGGGACCGTCCCCAAGCCCCTCCTGGGGGTCCTGAGACGTCCTGCCTTTTGCACTAAAAAAGCCGGTTTCGTCCCACACTGCCACCCCAACAGCGCGTCCTGGGGGGGGCCGACGCGGCAGGACGGAGAGCCCGCCGCCTTCCCCGCGGCCTGGAGCTCAAGAGGCCAGAAACGCGGACCAGGAGGCCACGGCGCCCACTAGCCTACTCTGTGTCTTGGAGAATGGAGTCATTCAGCGTCTGAAAAACCCATATCACTGGTAGTTACAGGCAACTGGCTTGTCTTTGTTATTTGAAACACGATCTTAAATACATTTTTAAATTTCTGCTTTAATTCCTAGCAGGCAAAACCTGCCTAAACAAACGCTCTTTTGGGGTCCTCCTATTTTTGGAGAGGAAAGGGACCCTAAATCATGAAGTTCGGATACCCGGGTTTCACCTCCCTGGTCCGTGTCCACATGTGCACAAAAGCAACAGGAATTCACTTTCTGTGGATAGGTGTTTTAACCCCTTGTAGTCTGGAAACTAGGAGCCCTCCCAAAATAGCTCGGAAAGTGGGCTGGCTGACATGGTTTGGAGTGGGTATGGCCTCCAAAGTTTCCCCACGTACAAGTGAATCCACTTTCCGTACCAAGACGCCTGCCCACTTCTAATGGGATTTTTAAGATTTTATTTATTTATTTGGGATCGAGAGAGAGAGCGCAAGCACAAGCAGGGGCTGAGCAGGGAGCCCGATGCGGGGCTCGATCCCAGGACCCTGGGATCATGACCTGAGCCGAAGGCAGACGCTTAACGACTGAGCCACCCGGGTGCCCCCCGCAATGGAATTTTTAAGGGAAACTCTGTACAATATCAGAACTAGAAAAAAAACACATCAAGTAGACCTTGTCTCCTTTTCAAAACGCACCGAAGCGTGGAGACATTTAATTTCCAACAGATAACCCCTTTGTTGGTCCTGCACATGTGACCACGTGTCTACAGAACACAGCAATTTGGAGGAGCTTTTAGGCCAGTTTTGGGGTGGACATTCGGATACGAAATGCAGTTAATTAAATCATGTATTTTAAGATGTGATGAACAGACACACCTCACCGTGTGGGCCACCTGGACAGTCTTCAGAAGACAGAGAATCTGCAAACCAGACCATCAATCCTGAGTCTGTAAATGGTCTTGCTTTTGGATAAATGTTAAGAAATTAGGACATCTTAACATTCAGGAGAACTACACTCTTATCTCTTCCTTTCTTCCTACAACCTAAGTGACCGCAGACATCATACCTGCCACATGCATTCCCCTTTCCTAAAAGGTCCAAGCCCATCCTCCTGGTCACAGTGCTCAGGAAAAAAAAAAAGTCAAGTTACTTCCAACCGGAAATGGGAACTGGGTCTTTGTTACTGTTTAGCTCCAAGCCCGGGGCAAAGTTCAGTGGCTCTCGTCCAAACACCCAGTGCAGTGAGGAGCCAATCAGAAAAGCTGTAAAAGGCAAAGCAATGGGTTTGCCTCTGGGGATGTGGGCCACCAGCAGACCCAGGGCCGGGACAGGCTCCCAGCTGTATCTAAAATCATTTCTAAGACGACAGACAGACTGGGGCTCGTGGAGGACCAGCAAGCAGAAGTTCATCCTTCTATATGAGGATCCTCTTCTGGACCACACAGAAGGATTCGTGTGGCGGGCACGTGACTTCATGAGTACTTTGTATTTCCACAATTTTGTTTGTTTGTTTTAAATCAACAGGTAGAAAGAACAGGGCCTCCGTGTCGACACACCGCAAACAAGTTTTGCAAACACGCGTTTTGGTGTGCCCGCGCTGGGACACCACCTCCAACGCTAAGTTCCTTTCCCAGATTGACCGGGGAGCTCCCGGCACGGGGCTCCTAGGCAGGTGACAAGACCCAGCTCAGAGCGAGATCGCGGGGTTACGTTTAAGTGACACTGGTTTTGGCTGGCTTCTCATCGTCCCTCGGTTTACAAGCTGATTGAAAAGGCCACGTGTTGACTTCCCTGTCCCCAAGCCCCCCCAAGCCTGCTGGTTCCTACTCACCCTGCATTCACTTCTACTGCGTATAAATATGTTTAAAAAAAAAAAAACAACAAATTCCAGTGTTATCAGACAAGTTAAAGGCTTGCTCAAGTAAAACAAAGATTCACTTCCCTGGGTGGAGGTTTCGGGGGGGTGGGGGGCCCTCACTGAAAAATGTGTTCTTCCTACTCAGAGCTGAGGTTCTCCAAGTGTGGCACCTCGCACCGTTAGTGGACAGACAGAGGAATTCAAAAGCACAGCTGATGCTGGAAACACGTGAGGGTTGCCACACACTGAAAAACCCGCTTGTAACTTTTGACGGCCCCCAAAACAGAACTACGAAAAGCCCACAGTTGTCCAGAAGACTTACCGGGCATTTGCCCGTTATTTTGTGTATTATAAGCACTGGATGCTGTATTCCTACAATGAAGGAAGCTGGACAGGAGCAAGTGTGATTAAGAAAATCCTAAGGGAGGAAAAAAAAGGGCACTTATGGGGGATCGTGCAGTGCGTTTGCCAAAGCAAACAAAAAAGAAAGAAAAGAGACGTAAGCGAAGGTGGGCATTTCAAACCAGTGTTGTTCAAAGGTCAAGTGTGTTTTGGCATGGAGGGGGGGCACGCGTGTGGCTCATCTCAGCACACTCTCTAATTGCAAAAGCAGAGCTGAGAGTAGGGGTCTCCTCTTAGGCCGTGCAGGAACGAGCTTAGCTACAAGGTAGCACCCACCCCGGGTCCCACTGAATACTTTGTTTTGGAAAATACTGATTTGGCACCTAAAAATAAACTGCCGCTTCTGCGCCCACAGACCGGGGCTCTTGTAATTCCCTGCGCAGCCGTGCACACACCGAGGCCTCCCGGATTCTGGCTCCGCAGCCCCGGAGCACGTCTATGGAGAGCCGGGGCGCGCACCCGCACGGGCACGCTGGGGGTCCCGCCGCGCTTACCAGAGCTTGAGCGGGTCCTGAGCCGAAGGCCCGGGGAGTGCGCGGCGCTGTTCCGGGCAGGGGGACGGAGTGGGCCCCCGGCGGCCAGCGCTCCACCGCCAGCACCGGCCCGGCTCCCCAGGGCCCCGGCCGCGCGCTGGGCCCCGCGGCGCCGCGGCCAGGCCTTCCGGGAAGGCCAGTGCCGCCTAACCCCGGGCCGAGGGGAAGGAGGGGCCTCCGGGGCGCCGCGCTCCGGCCCGCGCGCGGCCTCCGCACGACCCCCGCGGGCGCACACAGCCGCCCGAGGCCGGGGGGGGCGCGGGGGGGGTCGGGGCGCGCGCGGGCCCGGCCGTGACCCGCCAGGCGGGGGTCGCGGGCTTCCGGGAGACCCCGGCCCCGGGGCAGGCACGAGCGAGCAGCCGGGGCGCGCGCGCACGAGAGGCACCGGGGCGCGCTTGGCCTCCACAACCGCCGCCGCGCGCCTCCCCGCCGCCAGCCCGCCCGCGCCCCCCGCCGCGGGTCCCGCCGAGCGAGGAGCGCGCCTCCGGCCCGCCGTCGCCAACGCCCCCGCCGCCCCCGCCGCCCCGGCCCGCCCGCAGCCCCCCGCCCGCGCGCCCGCGCCCCGCTGACCTGGCTCCGCGAAGCCCCCGCGGCAGCGCCGCAGCAGCTGGGCCAGGACCACCGCCGCGCCCGCCGCGTAGACCCGCAGGGCCGCCCGAGCCGCAGACAAAGGCGACATGGCTGCCCGGACGCCGCTTCCGCGCCGCCCGCCGCCGCCCGCCCCCGGGACCCGGCGCGACACCGGCCGGCGGAAACGCGCCCGCGCGGCCCGCCCTCCGCGCCCGCCCGCCTGCCCGCCCGCCCCGGGCCCGCAGCCAGGACCCCGCCCAGGGACCCCTCCCCGACCCCGCCCCGACCCCGGACCCTCCCCGGGGCCCCGCCCCGGCCCCGCCCCAACCCCCGGAACCCCGCCCCGACCCCGGGACCCTGCCCGGGGACCCTCCGCGACCCCGCCCCGGGACCCCCCGACCCCGCCCAGACCCCCGGAAGCCCTCCCGGAACCCGGACCTTTCCCTGGGACCCCTCCCCGACCCCGCCCAGACCCCCGGAACCCCGCCCCGACCCCGGTCCCTGCCTGGGGATCCGTCCCCCACCCCGCCCAGACCCCCGGAACCCCTTCCGGACCCCAGGCCCCGCTCGGGAACCCCTCCCCAATCTCGCCCAGACCCCAGAACCCCTCCTGGAACCCAGGACCCCTCCCCGACCCTGCCCAGACCTTGGACCCCGCCTGGGGAACCCCCGACCCCACCCAGACCCCCAGAACCCCTCCCGGACCCCGGATCCCGCCCGAGGGCCCTTCCCCGACCCCGCCCAGACCCCGGACCCTGCCCATGGACCCCCGTCTGCCCCGCCAAGACCCCAGAACCCCTCCCGGACCCCACCCAGGGACCCCACTCCCACCCTGACCCGACCCCAAACTCCCACCCCAGGACCCCCCCTTCCTCCTGCCCAGACCCCCAGACCTCTGCACATTGACCCCTCCCCTGGACCCTGGGACCCCTCCCGGCCCCTCCTGACCGCGGTCTGCACTAGGAACCAAGAAGGGACTTTAGAGTAGGGACCCCCACCCGGATCCCCCACCCCTGCACAGGACCCACCCAAGACCCCAGCCCTGGACCCCGCACAGACCCTGGACCCCACCGCACCCCACCCCTGACCCTGCGCAGACCCCCCATCATTGGGCTTCCACTGAGACCCACCCACCCCCCCAGATCCCTACCCAGAACCCTCCCAAGGGACACCTAAACCTGGCCCCACAAGGACCTCAATACCTGCCAGGGCCCAAGACCCCCACTCATATTCCCCTCCATTGTAACAGCCAGTGGATTCCAGAGTCACACCCCTGCACCCACTCGCATCCCCAGCAGAGACCACGCACCCCTGCCAAGGTGGGACACGCAGGATCCCACACTTCTCCAGAACCCTGACCCCTCCACTGGGACCCAGGATCTCCGCCCACTCACTCCCCTAGGACCTGAACCCAGCAGGCCTGATTGCAGGGGGCACTCTAGCCCAGCACTAGCCTGACCTGGTGGCTGTACCCCTTTCCTCAGGTCAGGGGGACTGGCTTCCCATGGGGATCTGAGACACTAAGGACCCACCCCTGCTTGGTGCGTCCCCCAGCTGGGTTAGGAAGGCTCCTTCTGGCCTTTGCAACCCTCTACAGAGAAACTGAGGCCAAACAGCCTTCCCAGGACCCCATGTCAGATGGGAGAATCATCGGTCAGCCCTGCTGGGCCAGGGGCACCCAGCAAAGAGCATCAGGGACAGTCATACTGTCCTTGCCACCCATGTCCCACTCCCCAAAGGGTTTCCCGCATGAGCCCCTGCTGTGTGGGATGGGCAGCTCTGGCCCACTGTGTTCCTGGTGCAGGAGGGGTCCACGGGTGGGGGCCCAGGGTCTGGCAGAGGTCAGGGTGGGGTCTGTGGACGGGGCGGGTGGGGGTTGAGATCCAGATGGGGTCCCTGGGCAGGGGGCCCAGCGTCTGGGTGGAGTCTGAAGGGATCCGGGCGGGAATCCCCTGATCCAGGGTCTGGGCTGGGATTCCAGCAGGAAGCAGGGAGGGTGGGACTTCTGAGAGTCTGAGAACAGAGACAGATGACAGCATGTTATCCATGGCCAGCCAATGCCTGGGGGTGACACTGAAGACCCCTCCTCCCCTCTCACCCTATCTCCCCCAACTGTCTATATTCCCAGGAGGTTTCTGGAGCCATGAACTGGAGAGGGCCTGCTGATAGCTGCAGACTTTCTTAGGTGCTTCCAGCAATGGTTTGAGGGGACCCCCTCCCCGAGTCACTCTCCTCCCGTGGAACCTGTTGCATATGGTTTTTATCACACTGGTGATAAGTCACCCCAAATGCAGCAGCTCAAACTATACAAATTGTAGGATCTCAGTGCTCTGTGGGTGAGAAGTCCCCATTGTGGGCTCCACTGGAGTTCTGCTCAAGGTGTCATAGGGTCCAAGTCGGGATGTCCACCCACTCATGGGGCCCCCGGGGCTGTGGCCTGGAGGAGCCTGTGCGGGAGCTCAAGGAGGTTGTGAGCAGAAGCTAGGTCCTGGTGGTTGTGGGGCTGACGTCCCCATTTTGGGGAGGCTGGCTGTCGGCAGGGGGCAAGCCTTCAGTCCTAGGGGCCTCCTTGTTGCTCCTAGCAGGTGTCCCACTGCATCCCATTCTTGGAATTCCTACAATTTCCCCTCCTGTCGCGTCTCTGGGACCCCCGCCACACCCAGTTCTCTGCTTTTGAGGGCTCACAGGATTAGAATGGTCTCCTCAGGTCAATCCAGGATTACCTGCCTATTTTAAGGTGCATACCGAAATTCCACCTGTAAAGTCCCTTGTGCTGTGCGGCGGTGCATGCTCATGGCTGCTGGGGAGATTCGCGCCCGGATGTCTTTGGGTGGCCCACCCCTCGTTGGCCGACGCCACCACGGTTTAGGACTTCCTGTCCCTTCGAGGATGTGAGGACCGCAGCAGATGGGGGTAAATTTCACCTGCACCCCAAGAGGAAGATGAACCCCAGGGCTGACATCCTTTCTAGAGAAAAAGGTGAGGCAGGACCCGGGAGGCCCAGCAGGGTGTTGAGAGCCGCTAGGTGTCTGCCTCTGGGCCACGAAATCCATGCAGCAACCCCTGCACACCACAAGGAGCTCATGATAATCCTAAAAGCCCGTGCCAAAGTTTTCGGTGGTCCTTCTTTCAAAATCAGGGGTGGGGGAAAATACAATAAAGATGACTATGAATAATGCACGCCGTCTAGAAAGGGTGTGCAACCTACAGCATGGGGTATCTATTGGTTTGTCATGGGAGAGACGAAGGGGCCCATACAGAGCGTTACTGGGGAGACCAGAAGCATCCTATAGTTCCTATAGGCCCCTGACCACACAGGGCCACACGGGCTTGCCTATGAGGACACAGTGAACCAGCAGGCTTTTTAGTACCCGGAGCGTGCATAGCCCTGGTACCCGTGGCAGGACGTGATAGGCTTGTTGGAATAATCCCACAAGCCGGCAGGGACCTCAAGCCTACCAGTCAGGGGGAAGCAGGCTCCCAGCCTGGTCCCCGGGATAAGAAGGGTCATCTGGTGTGGGGACCTTATCGTTGGGAGCAGCGCGGGGTGGAGAATTCAGAGTTAGGCTGGTCGAGGACTTCTGGGTTTTCTCCAGACCCCAAGGAAGCATATGATGTTTATGATATGGGGCCTGAAGATTGGTCTTTTCACCACAGTGTGAATGGGAGTGTGGGGTATGGACAGGTACTGGAGGGCAGGGGATCCCAGGGTTTCACGGATGGCCAAGGGCCGGCGGGAGCCTACAGAGATGCGGTGCATGCACGACTCAGGAGGTATAAGGACGTTTCCCCATGAGTCAGGGGACACTGGTTAAAGCCAGTGTCCTGGAGGTACCATCCAAACTCGCCAGAAATGGCCAATGAAATGAAATGAAGTGAAGTGAAATAAATTAAATTAAATTAAATTAAATTAAATTAAATAACAAAATATAAAATAAATAAAATAAAATAAAATAAATAAAAAATACAATGAAATAAATAAAATAATAAAATATAAAATAAAATAAAATGAGATGACAAAATAAATTAAATACAATAAATAAAATAAAATAATAAAAATAAAAATAAAATAAAATAAATAAAATACAATTAAATAAATAAATTAAATTAAACTAAATTAAATTAAATAATCCGAGGCACCTGTTAAAAATGCAGATTGCGGGCGCCTGGGTGGCTCAGTTGGTTAAGCGACTGCCTTCGGCTCAGGTCATGATCCTGGAGTCCCTGGATCGAGTCCCGCATCGGGCTCCCTGCTCGACAGGGAGTCTGCTTCTCCCTTGACCCTCCCCCCTCTCATGTGCTTGCTCTCTCTCATTCTCTCTCTCTCTCAAATAAATAAATAAATCTTAAAAAAAAAAATGCAGATTGCCAGAAATCGTCTCAGGCCAACTGAGTCAGAATATGCTGGTGAGTCCCTCAAACGGAAAAATAAAATTGGAGAGAAGGCTAGTGTGGACTTTAAGGTGCGGTTTTGGGGGTTTGGGTTGGTTTTTTGCTCTGTTTGTGTCTGTGTGTGACAAGGGTTAAATTGTTAATATTAGGGACGCCTGGGTGGCTCGGTCCGTTAACCACCTGGCTTCTGCACTCAGGACACACGATGCTTCTGGGGAGGGTTGCCCAGGACGATACCACCTCCGATAGTTCTTGACGTACACCAAGTCCTTGACCTTGCTGGTCCAAATCCGGAACGTTCTTTGCATGCCCAGGTGTGCAGTAAAGAATCCACTTTGCACAAAGTCAGCTCTGGCATGGGCCCCTTGGGTTCTGGGAGCAAGACTCTGAGCCCTGGGACATGCAGGTGGAGCATGCTACCATGGGATTTAGGGTTGGGGGGCTTTGGGGCATGTGGTCTCTGCTTGATGGAGGTCAGGTGCCCAGGAAGTCAGCCGTGCAGGTTGGCAATAGCTGGGTGTTGTCACCTGTCATGGCTGGGAGAGGTACGTGCTGTGTATGAGCTCGCTGGGAGGGGCTGCTGGAGGCTTGTGCCTCGTTCCTCCTGGACCCTGCCCCGTGTACCTGTTCCCTTTGCGGATTTTATTCTGTGTCCTTTCATGTGAATAAACCATTAGGATGAGCATAGCAGCTTGGCAGAGTTGTCTGTGTCCATGTAGGGAATCTGTGTACCTGGGGGTGGC